GATCCTGGCCTGCTCAGGAGTACAATAAGACACAGACAAGATATATGTTAGTTGCAAAAGGGAACAAAGATGGTCAGAACTATAAGAAGGACTAGGACTCTGAGGCACTAGTGTATTTTGTATTTGTTAGGTATACAGCTTAATTAGGGGATGTGCTGGTAGGTTACAGAAAGTGACGAAGGTGACCCTGTCCTGATGCAGACAGGGCTCAAGAACTGAGACTTCAAGCATTTTTGTAAAAAGCACACAAGAATAGATACCATGGTTAACTAGTAACTAGTTTACCTGCTAACTGCAGTTACTGAGCTGAGAGAGGAAAGAGAGTGAAAGCCCTCAGTTGTGATTGTTACTTTGCTTTAAGGTGCCAGGACTTCACAGACCATTTGCTGGTTTCAACCCTGGCCAATAGCTTAGGAATTAACCTCATCTGCAAGCCAGCCACGGGTCTTGCCACAAGTCACGTAGGCCTAGGACAGACTCTCACCTTACTTTATGCCGATTTATTAATATTAGTCACTGCCTGCTCTGCACTGCATCAAGCTTGTCCTCAGCAGGTGATCATTGATTTAAGGTTTCTGACAGGTGCACTATTCTAGAACTTGACAAAGAGAAACATTAAGTCCAGAGGTACTCATTTTGTATGGAGCAATTGCGTTTCTCTCTGCCTGGTCAATTCTATAGCCCAGCACTTTTGTTCCCTGGAGGAAGTTAGGATGGATTTGAATTCAGCAGAAAGTTCTTTTGCTGCTATTTTAAAACTTCTCTCTGCTACCTGGTCTAACATAATAATTACTTGCCTATTATTTATCTTAGGCAGATTATGAATGATGATAAGGTTTGAGTGAATGAAACACCTCACCTGCTCCCTAGCTGTTCAAGCTACAGCAGTGATGTTTCCCCCTCTGGGCCATCTGTGTGCACTGCCACCCAGCCAGGAACAAGACAGGTGTTTTGCAATCACAAAGCACAACATGGCCAGACCCACAGGGGTCTGTCCAGACGAGTCTTGGCCCCACCACTTGTAACTTATCTCATATACTCACAACCCAAATGCTAAGCCTGACCTCTGGATGTGCTCTACCAAACAGTCACTGGCTCTGACATCGAGTTCTGTTGTAGGGACACATTGGGGAACAGAAGAGAAAGGGCCTGTACTCATGGATGTGTAGCGAGAGAGTGGAGGGGCAAAATTTCCATGATATAATAAAGAGAAAAAAGCCACTTAAGAGAAAGACAGGAAGATGGAGAGGTAGAGGGAGAGGGAGAGGGAGAGGGAGAGGGAGAGGGAGAGGGAGAGGGAGAGAGAGAAGACTACAAAGTAAATGCAATAGGGCTAAGAATAGCCAAGGGCAGTGTTTGAGTGAGGGGCTGTCTTGATCACTTTTTTGTTGTTGTTGTTGCTGGGACAAAATACCTGACATACAAAATTATGGAAGAAAAGGTTTATTTAACTCACAGTTTGTGGAGGTTTCAATCTGTAATCAGTTGACTCCAAGCAGAGGGTAACCCTCAAGGTGGCAAGAGACAACAAACGCAGCCAGAGCAAAAGTGGGGGAAACAAGCCTCTTTTCCTCCCATATATTGTAAGCCAGGTACCACAGCCTAGGGCAGGTGTAATACTCACATCATCTGCCTGCCCTCCTCTTGCACAGGCTCAGGATGTTTACAAAGTAAGAACCCTGACTCCCTGCCCAGTCCCTTAGTTAAACTTCTAAATTCAAATTGACACAATGTATCAACAATTATAGGGGCTTGGAGGCTCCAGTCCTGGAGGTGAGAGCTTCAGAAGCCCTTATAGAAAAGGACAGAAAGCCAAGTTCAAGCAAAAGGCACAACAGGTGCAAAATCCCCTGCATTTAGGAGGGAATAGGGAAGACGGGAAGAAGGTCAAGGTACTAACACTTGGGCATGAGGGAAGAGTGAATTGGGCTCAGAGGGACTGACAGATGCTGTTGGACAGGGGAGTCTCTGTGGCATCAAAAGAAAGTCCTGGATGTGACTTCAGAAGGCATGAGCTGTTTTACCACAGCATGGCTGGCTACCCTGAGAACCAGTGCCCAGTACAAAAAATGCAGAGGTCCTTGTTCAAAATGCAAGAAGAAGCCAGACATGGTTGCATCAGCCTATAATCCTAGTACTTCAAGAGGCTGAGGCCTAATTCCAAGTTTGAGCTCAGCCTGGGCAACCTAGTGACTTAGTGAGACTCTGTCTCAAAATTTTTTTAAATTGTGAATGGCTGTAGCTCAGCACAAAGGCCCTGGTTCAGTCCCTGCTATTGCAGAAAAAGGAGGATGAGGAGGAAATGGAGAAGGAGGAAAAGAAGGAGAAACTTTTCCTTTCTTCCATATTCTCTCTCCCACAAGACAGGGTGCTTTTATTTGTTATTTAATGCCACACCCCCTCAGACATGAGAATACATGTGGGGTGAATGCAGGCTTTCACAAGCTCCTGGGGCTCCGCCCTGCAACTCAGTGCACAGAAGGTGGATGCCACTCCAAGGCTCCCAGTGTCTGTGCTAAGAATTCCGGGGGAGGGGGACTAAAGGGTGTGAACAGTGACTGTAGTCACAGGGCAGAGGTAGGAAGGTAAGCGGAATCCAGAGCACCCTGCGCTCCACATGTGCCACTTGTCCTCCTGGATTTTGCTTACTAAACACAAATTCAAAGATAAAAATTACTCAGAATTTCAAAACAGTGACCTCAGAGCCTTGAAGTCATAGTGTATCCCCAGTCCTGGTCTGAGCAGAGGTGGGCATGGCTTGGTAAGAAGGCTGGGGACTTTGAGTTTGGCATCCAAGAAACAGAATGCCTGTGCAATATGATTTACTTTGAGAGGGTAGTCATTGATTTAGTGTTTCTGCACTAGTTGACTGCCCCTCAAAACAACCCCTTCCTGGAGGGAGGGCTTTAGAGTCTCCAAGTTCCTGGACACCAATAAGAAAGCTCAGGACTTACTGGATTCACAGCTGAATTCTACAAGAACTTCAAGGAATCTCTAACACCAGTACTCCTCAAACTTTTTAATGAAATTGAGACAGAAGGAGTACTCCCAGCATCATTCTTGGAAGTTAACGTCCTGATCCCCAAACCAGACAAGACTCCAAGAAAGAGAACTATAGGCCAATTTATCTAAGAACATAGATGCAAAAATCCTTAACAAAGATACTGGCAAACAAAATATGACAAGTCACCAAATCATCAAAAAGATCAGACACCATGACAGAGTGACTTCATCCTTGGGATGCTAGGATAGTTCAACACATGCAAATCAGTAAATGTAACTCATCACATAAACAGAAGCAAAGACGAAAATCACATGATCATTTCAATAGATGCAGAAAAAATCTTTGACAAAATCCAATGCCTGGATCCTACTCATAGGGATGAGTTCAAGGGGATCATGGATTTACAAATGTGTATCCAGAGTTGAGCACCACTGATACAGGTCTGCTTTTATTGAGTGGTGTGGAGGCTACTAGGAATTAAACAGAAGGCAACTTGATGTAGAAACACAGCATGTGCTCAGTCCTCCTCAGTTTTGGGGTGGAGAGTGGCCACACAGGTGCTCAGAGTCCAGGTATACCAGGCAGAACAGCAGATGAGAAGTGCCTGGGAGGCTCTGAGCCCTTCACCTGCTTGCCGTGGGGGTCATAGGGCTTGCTGGTGCGTTTGATGGGGTCCAGGAAAGGGAGGTAGGGAGTTAGTACTGGTGTCTGAGGTCCTGAAGGAGCAATGGCGGGAGGGTGGTGTCTTCACAGAAAAGGGAGAGTCTGGAGGGAAAGATAGTCCGGGGATGGGAAGTCAAGTCTTTTGGGTGTTTCAGCTCATTTTCCTAAAGGAATCAGCTTTCCATTTCCAGGACATAATATGGGACCAAATGTTTTGACTTCTCTCATTCTCAAAACCCAAACTGGAAAGCCAGGCATGGTAGTGCACACCTGTAATCCCAGCACTCAGAAGGCGGAGGCAGGAGGATTGCCATGAGTTTGAGGCCTCCCTGTGCTATATAGTGAGTTCAAAGCCTGCTTGCACTACATAGCAATGCCCTGTCTCAAAACAAACAAACCAAGCAAACAAATAAACAAAACACCCAAACTGGAATATTTTCTGGAAAATAAGGGAGATGATTAACAGAAAAGTGCTGTGGAAAGCGCAGCCATTGAGTCACCTCTTAAAATTGTCTCAAAGGCACAAGGGCAGGTGATGTGAGCTGTGTGGGAATGAGGAAGCACAGCATGTGGCGCCAGAGGCAGCCCAGATGGAAAGGTGGGAAATTTTGATGAATTTCTGGATTTTGATGAATCTCTGTTCAAATTGGAGCTGCCACATCACAGTGGCTTCTTGCTAAGCAACAAAAGCCTTACGATTCTCATAAAGACTGAAATGTGGCATAGCTGTCCCTGCTCTCATTTCCCTGGGGACAAGAGCCTCAGTCCAGGCTCAACATGGACCTAAGCACCCTGCCAGGCCGTCATCCTGGGCAGCGACTTGTCCTTCTCCCTGGAGAATGGGAGAGGACTCCCAGAATCCTGACTCCCCATGACACGAGTGCATCTCAGCAGCTGAGAGCCAGGCAACACTTGGGCAACATGAATAGAGCGCAGAGTCAGATTCCTGTGCTGGGGGAAACCCGGACCCTCCAGGCACTGGAGTCTGCATCTGTGAGCTGGGTCATGAGGCCCCCATGGAGAGTCTGAATCTCCCTTCTGACACTGCTGTCGAAGATAGAAGGAATTTTTAAAAATGGTGTATACACATGAGGGAGTTTTATTCAGCCATAGAAAAATGAAATCATATCATTTGCATGGAAATGGATGCAACTGGAGGTTATCATTTAGATACATATTGCATATTTTCTCACATATGTAGAAACTTAATTTAAAAATAAAAAGATAAATGGAAAATAGAAGACAGGAGACCAGGGCAAGGAGCAAGAGAGGGTAGGTAGCAGGGAGAGTGGATACAATTCGAACTATGTATGTGAATGTCATATTGAAAGGTATTAATTTGGACAATTAATACAATCATTTCACATGTCACCCTTGCTCAGGGGCCATGCTGGTCTTCTCTGTATCATTTCAATTTTAGTATATGTGCTGCTGAAGCGAGCACAGTACAATCATTTTATATTAAAAAACGAGAGCCAGATGTGGTAGCACAGGCTCATAACCCTCATAATCCCAGTACTCTGAGAAGCTGAGGCAGAAAGGTCACAAGTTCAAGCCTAACCTGGGCAATTTAGAGACTTAGCAAGATCTTGATTTAAAATAAAAGCAGCTGGAGATGTGTAAAGGCCCTGGATTCGATCCCTAGGACCACAAATTAGCAATAAATCAATGAAAATAATTAGTGACAGCCTTCCACAAAATAAATAAGAATAAGTGCAAGAATGAGCTGCAGGGATCTCTCCAGCAGAGCCAGATTCTTTCCAGGTACCCTGTAGCCAGAGGCTGAAAGTGGCAAGCATCCTAGGACCCAGCTGCTTGTGTCCCATGCAGACATCTGTAGTGGCACCTTGGATTGTGACACTTCCTCTAAGAGGTTGGCTGCAACTTTGTCAGGCCTCCCTGCCTTTTACTGTGGTAGTGGCTGTGCTTCCAAACCGTGTATTCTGGACTCTGCCTATCTCCTCCCGCCAACTTTCCATATCACGTTAGGAAGACATGGCTTTTCTGCTTGGCCTTGGCATATTCACCCATAAAATGGGTATAGTGCCTTCTCTGCTCCACAGTGCTCAAAGCCATGATGAGGCTCTTGAAGGCTGAGTCAATCAGCTACTGGGCTAGGGCTGCATTGCGTAACTGGCCGTAGTAGTCACGTGGCGTACATTTCCACTGGTCCACAGGGCAAGAAGGAAAAGAATAGAGAGCTATCTGTAATTTTCTGGCTCTAGGATCAGGAGCATTTGTGACTGTACCATTTATCAATTATATGTTAGAGAGAGTAAAATCTGGAGTCCAGCTGGCCATGGTGGTGTATACCTGTAATCCCAGCACTAGAGAGGGTAAGGCAGGATACAGCAGGATTCCTCTTGGTGAATCTGTCCTCAGAGTTACTGTTTATTGCCTTATCCTCGCCTCTGGGGCCAGGTTTGATTCTTGAATCAAACAATGAACACATCACAGGCTCACCAAGCACAGCAAAGTCTGTCCTAGCCATGAGTTCAAGATGAGCCTGAAATATATAATGAGACTCTGTCTCAAAAAATAAAAAAGAATCAGTAATCCAGGCTGGGGGTACTGTAGGGACCTCAGCAGTGTTAAGTTTCTGCTCAACACAATTCCTTGGCTTTTTCTGGTATGGAGCCATTTCTTGCTAGGCAGAACCAGCTCGATGTCCTTGAGTGACGGTAGCCAAAGCCTGGTTTCAAGGGTGGGACTTGAGCCAGACAATGTAAAGACCTTATTCCCCTTGCCACTATGACAGACACATGACCCAACCCAGCAGAACAGTGCTTTGGAGGATGAGATTCTTTTCTCTGGAATCGCAAGTTGATGTGTGATAGTTACTTCAAAAATGCATGTGGCTGTTTTGGCTGTCACAGGAAGTTAGTCTGCCTGAGAGGAAAGCCAATGACACAAGAAAAGAGGCAAAAGGAGGACAGTAGAGTCCTGATGATCCAGACCCCTGAATCAGGCCATACCTGAAGCAAGACCCTCTTTGGACTTCTGCTTTGTGTAAGTCAATACACTTCTCTTCTTTCACTCAACAAATCACATTTGATCGTGTAGTAAATTCCCAGGACTTTCTGCCGCACTGTGAAAACAACATGAGCAAAACAGACATGGTGGAACTCTTCAGGAGTTTGCAGGTTGATCAAGAAAGTGTTTACCCCAGCCATAAATTTAACAGAACTTGTCAATTGAATCTTTTGCAAGGGTTGTGAAGAACACAACAGATGGTGTGCAATTTTATGAGAAGTGCAGAGATAAACTGCACGTGCACATTTTTGTCTATTGATCCTCAGCAGAATCCGAGAGTACAGTGTTAAGATACGATTTGGTAAAAACAGCTCTGTGTGAAAGCAGAGAAATGTAGCACTGCTGTGTGTGTTTTCCTGGCAATCTGAGTGAAACAGCGGAAAAAGGGCTCAGAGAATCTCAGAATGGTTGGCTTGTCCTCCAAGCGGCCTCTCCTGAATGACAATGATCCTAGCTGTGCTCTTCACAGAAGCGACTTGGGAGATGATTTTTAAGTGTTTAGCTTTTTAATAATAAAGATAACACAAGCGCATTAATAAATATTCAGAAACAGAGAAAAATATCCTTTAAATCCCACAACCCTGACACAACCACTGTTACGAATGTTATTTTGCGAATTCTAGGACATCCTTTGCTGTGCTTGGTGAGCCTGTGATGTGTTCATTGTTTGATTCTTGGCTCACTGAGGACCTGGCCCCAGAGGCGAGGATAAGGCAATAAACAGTAACTCTGAGGACAGATTCACCAAGAGGAATCGTGCTGTATCACTTAGTAACTATGTGACCTTGGGCAAGTTCCCCAGCCATAAACCTCAGTTCCCCGTCCATAAACGGAGATAATAACGTATCTGTTTTGCCAACATGCTGCAGGATCAGAGTAAGATGGAACCGGGCAGGTATTAGTCCTTTCCACATGCCGCTGCCTTAGTCATGGCCCAAGCACAGCCACAGACTCCTGGTCTGGCTGGATGACAGAACACAGGTGTTCACCAGTGATGTACCAACAGGACATCCCACACAGGACAAACCACACGGCTTGATGTGGGGCTGAACATGTATCACTCTCTCTGAGTACTTTGAGACAGGTCTGGGACCAATATGAGCATCTTGGATCTGGCCTCCTGCTTTTCATGTTACACACCAACCCTGTATTTGCAGGTGCCTGGCCACCACATGCCATTCTTCATTGTCTTCGGAGAGTTCAACTGATGCTTGAAGTAATGTGCACACATCCACAGTGGGATATGACTGTTATAACTTGAGCCCCGGTATAAAATCCAAGGAGGCAAGAGACCGAAAATTTAGTGGCAAAGGCTTTATTTCCAGGCCTGGCGACCAGTCTCCGGGAGCCAATTTGGAGACTGTCCCCTAGGAGCTGAAGGGAGGACTTTAAAAAGGGGCTGGAGGAAAGGGCGGGGGGAGAGAAACAAAGAAACCTGTAGAGCCATCAAACTTGTTGACCCGAGTCTGGAAACTGTATTGCTGTCCACTTAGCTCTGACAATCTAGGGAGTTTCTGGTGTTTTTTAAAAATTATTTCCATCCTGCAGACTGACATTATCTCAGAGTGGCACGTCTGCAGCAATATTTGGAGAAGAAAGTGGACAGTTAATTATCTCAGGACAGCTTGTCTTCGCTAGTGAGTGCGAAGGGGTCACAAGTTATGAGACGCTGGAACTTAAGTTTTATGAAGACCTGATATCTAACTCATTTGATACATACAGAACAAAAGGAAAGCACCGATTGGGGTTTGGGCCATAGTATTACCCGGTAATTTGTTTAAGCTAAGCAGTTCTTAAAATTGGGGCAGGCTCATTTTACAACAGATCATCACCGGGTCAGGGGGAGGTCACCAGAAACCCAAATTCTTTATGGCCTAGATAGATAGGTGAGGGGAGAGGGAGGCAATAAGGCGCCATACAGAACAGAAAACGGCGGTAATGTGTCAAGGTCAGGGTAAAGGGTTAAACTCACACGCAAATCTCTCTGCACACAAGCAGGTTACTTTAAACAAATGTAAGTTAATTGCCATTCTAGTTTTCCTTAGCTCTTTAGCAGAGAATAGAGGCTCTTAGCAGTGATTAACAACCCTTGTTAGCTTGTTTTAGCACAGCTTCTGTAGTTTGTAGAGAGCAACAATGGTTAACATATCAATTAGGTGAGATTCTTGCAATTCTTTACAGAGGAGAGTGTTGCTCAACAGATCAATTAGGTCCCTTAACATATCAGTTAGGGAAAAAGGATAAAACAAACACATTTAGTAAGCCCCTATACAGGTTTGCTATAATACACATATAACAAAGCTATTTTCTTAGGGTACAACATTCCCCACTGATTTTAGTCAGTGTGTCAAATCATTGACTCTTTAGCATCTGTTTATAACCTTGTATGTGTCTTTAAAATTATAAGCTTTTAAGAACTTTGACATAGTTTATCAACTTGTTTATAACACAAGGCCCAGTAGGAGGATTAACAAAGGTCTTGTAGCTGTCATTAAAGCTGTTAACCAAAAGGAGAAAGAAAACCAACATTTAAATTTACTCTGTTTTATCATACAAGTAACAATTTTTAAGTCAGACAGAGGCCTCTTAGGGGTCTCTACAAAAGAGGAGAACACAAAATTATCAGTTATATTAGACAATCTTAAGCTTTAAAGTGTCCTTGGAAGAAATGACAGTTTATTTATCCGCAGGCTAATGGTCTTTTGAAGCTGGGGACCTGTCTGCAGTGGGAACGTTGAATCCAGGCAGGCTTTTAGCTACTTTGACAGTCCATTGCAGCTCAAGTGATTTATGGTGAGGTCGCTTGTCTAGGTGCCTAGGCTCTTTAGCTCGCAGTGGGCAGCAGCGAAATAACCAGTGGATGGAAGTCAGAGCTGGCTGAAAAGTCTGGGGGAGACTTAATAAGATCTTGATTAGTTAAATCAGCTAATTTTTAGAAACCTTTAATGATAAGAGGAAGATCTCTTATATGAAACCTCAAAAGAGGAAAGATCTGCAACATAGGGGATGCATCACGCACACAAAGGGGCAGAAGGAAAAGAGACTTACCCAGTTTTCGCCAGTTTTTAAGGCCATTAGTGATTATAGTTTTTAAAATCTAACTTATCTTTTTACCTCTCCTGAACTCTGAGGCTGGTAAGCCCAATCGAGTTTTTAATTGATCTGCAAAGCTTAGGTTAATTTGAGTTATTAGGCTATAAAAGCCAGGCCATTGTCGGACCCCATGGATAAAAAGGGAGACCAAATCAGGGAAACTGCTATCAGAGCTGACTCAGACTAAGTAGAAAACGCTTTTACTCATCTAATGAAAGTATCAACCATTATAACATTTATATCCTTGAAGTTTTAGGCTTTTTATTTTTGTAAAATCTATTTTTTAGTGTTTTTAGGCATAGTCTCACGATAACCAGT